TCTTTTCTCTCATGGGCTGAGTCATTTACATAACAACAGAGGCAGGCACAAAAGTCTTGTGGGCATGTGACAAGCTTGTGGGACGAGAGTACATGGACAGGGGGAGACAGAGGGTGAGGAATAAGAGGGAATGGAGGAGTGAGAGAGAGAGGCTGCCCATGCTAATATCTGCAGCTGGGCCTTTGGTTTTGTTCTCTATGCAGCTGGGCTGGATGAAGGAAACTGGATTCCAACACACCCCCATCAGCATAAATCTTGCCATGCTTGAGACTGAACACACTACAACAATGCCACTGGGTCAGTCTATGCCAAGTCGGCTGGCTCTGCACATACACACATGCATGCTTATAAATAAATTGTTGTTTTGTGGAGTTGTTTGTAACAACCATGGCACGTTTTTTTTTCTGTTGCATATATTCATCGTTTATCATCGCTTTAGACGAACCCAGACTATGCTAATTATTCCTTTCAGTTTCATTGTCATTGTCTATCCAAAACAACGTCAAACAAGATTATTTCATGTGCTAGAGTCAAGTCCAAGATGAAATTCAACACTTGCTTTTCAATGTAAAATGGAACTTAGTTTTATTCTTGTAATTTCATAGCTGTGAAAATGTGGTTTCATTTAGGGAGGATACAGATGTGAGACTGTGACAATCACATGATGTCCCAAAGTCATCATGGTCCACTACAGTCTGATTAAAATTATCTGGGTTAAAACAAAACAGAATTCAGACACAATCACAAACTTGCCCCCCAAACATTTGTGCACAGCTTTCAGCCTATCATTAATAACACCATAAAGACCTCTTTATGTCCTGGAGGACAATGTCACTTTTGGGAGTCAACTTTGACGAGATGAATGTGAGTGGTGAGTCTGAATGCTTTGCAGCTGGCTGCGAGCTGGGCGCTGGTGACAGCGGGTACCAGGGCACAAATCCCATGGCAGAAAGGGCATCTTTGTTTGGCCCAGGTGCTCCCTGGATGCACTGCCCTCACATCCTGTCCGGACTCATTCATTATGCATGAATCGTACATTTAAAATCATGAGCTTCCTGTCAAAAGCCAGAAAGGACCTGCAGCCAGCCAAGTGGGCTTTATGTGGCTTTGGAGGAAGAATAGAAGCGCGACATTTTCTGGGCGTTGAAAAGGCGGAAAAGCAAAAAAGACCATTGTAGCATAGAGAAAACGACATTATAGCTGGATCTGTTTTAAATGCAGGAAAGTCCAATAATACAGTAAAATGTTTGTTGTGTAGTTTCACAATTTATAACTTCCTGAGCATAATCAGTTGACGCAAATTTGATTTGCTTGATATATTTTAAGTTTTGGCCAGATTTTCGCAGCTTTCATTCTGAGTAGTTGTAATAATAAATAAACAATCCCTTCCTCTCATGTGCCTTGCTGATCACATGAGAAGAAGATGTGTCTCAGTAATTAGTGCAGGATTATAATAATCTGCAGTGGGAAGCGTGACCTCCCCCCTTGTCTTTGTGTCCAAGCTCAGGATGATTTGTGCACAATTAAGCCATTTTGTTTCACTGCGTGACTGTTAATTAGCATTATCTTCACCAGTGGCGTCAGCTCTTAGGCTAGGTTCTCACTGAGATTCTTCTTCTTGCATCAGTTACCGTAGTAACAGCACAGTCTCCCAGGGTCTGGGGTCAAAGTAGAGGTCAACGCCTGATGTGATCAGACTACCAGAGTTCCTACTGCAAGAACTGAGACTAAGTTAATAAATGCTTTTCTTATATACCACATCATACTTTCTTGTCCTTAACTTTTTATGTTAACATTGCAAGTGTCATGAATACAGATTGAGTTTAATTGCCATGACATCCATATTCAGTCAGTGATTTCTAGTTTAGATGTTCAAAGCAGAGGGGGGAATGCTTAAATATAGTATATATCTCAATAGTTTGGAACATCTCAACTCCCTATATGGCACAACCATATAGCCATATGACCAGCTGCTGGTTCAGGCAAACCAACAGCAGGTCACTGAAAAGAAAACCTGTGAAATACCACAAAATTTTTCATACAGAGAAGGGATTTACTAACAACAGAGCAACATTTAAAATACAGCTGCCGCTATAATTGGAAGGGCGCATTTTAGTGTTGAAATCACCAAATCACCATGAGCAGCAGCAAAATAAAATAATACTCTTAGTTTTCAACATAAATTAAATGTTGCATTTTCTTTCTCCATTGCACTAATTTGGAGAATTAAATATGTGCAAAGACATATTTCTTCTCAGACCAGGGTGGGTCCATATTTGCTTCCTAATTTACTGACCTTACAAGCTGCCATAACAAATGTGTCATTTGAAATCAGGTCATCTCCCTTATAATGAAATAAAAAAATGGAAGTAAAGTTTGAATTTCTTGATGAGGTCAATCCGAAGGCCATAATCCTGGATTGCTCACTGCCTGCTGTGGGTCTGTCTGTCCCACATTGAAAGTTTACTGGTCTCAATGCTGCCGTAGGCAATATATCCACTCATAAGACCCAAAAAGAATGGCATCAGTCACAGTTTAATGGATCCAGGATTATTGGTGCCTTCATCTCTCAACTCCCACGGGACTGAAGGGTGGATGGTTGACTCTGCCATGGTCTCCAGAAACTGCCAGCACCTTTTCCTGTGACCTTACTGCTGCTGCCTACAGGCAAACTCAACATGATGTCTTTTAACCACTTGGTCTGAGCTGCGTCATGCTCCTTACCGGCCCCAATTTTGTCAAATTAGTAACCAATCTTCACCCTCGCTCTTTGAAAGTCCTTATAATCACATTGAGAGCACAGAGGAAGCAGTTTGACCCACGGCAGGTGGACAGAGAGAAACAAAAGCTGCACCTCCACCCTGCTGATGACATTCTTTCGCTTTGCGTCTGGTAGAAAATGACTGGGGATGCGTGTTACAATTAAATCAACAATAGCAAAACAATTAGGAATGATTTTTAAAAAATTGTAGTTTCTCAAGAGATAAATAAGAATTATGTTTTAGTGAATGCCCATCTGTTATCTTTAAAACAAAGTTTAAGTCCTTCAACCATCGCAGGTAATATAGGAGATGTATATTTTTGTGATTTATTCAGCCTGTGATTTGTTACCAGCTGACCTCCATTCACTGGTCAGCAAAATAAGAGTGAAGTTCAGTGTTATCAGAGTTGGTCAATAAAGTAAGAACAATTAAGTTCTGTAAAAGTGGCCCCTCAAACTGAAAGTCTCCTATCTGATCACTCATTGCACTTAGTGGGGACCTGCTGCGACTTCTGTTTATGGATTAGTTAGGCAGCAATAATGAGCACTGCTCTCTCACTGTGCAGGAGTCAAGTCAAAATCCCTTGCCAATTACAAGGAGATTTACACAAGGCCCTGTAGTTTGGAGACTAATCTTCTTGTGCGATCTACGATGTCCCTGGACTAAAACAGGCTCTTGTATTCTCATGGACCACTGATGTTGGACCTCGTGGTGGGATTTGTTTCTGTTTTCATATGTTTCTGCAGAACTGGGAGGGCCGGAGCCTGTCTGCATGTCAGCATCCTGCTTATGGAACGGACCTGGCAAATGGCCCATTCAGGACATTTGACCCTGCAGATTTTTCGTTTTTCTGTGTGTGTGTGTGTGTGAGTTTTAAGGGGAGCAAACACTTTTCCTTAACCAAGGGCTAAATGGCTCAAAAAAAGGGTGGAAAGCTAAATATTATTGTAAGTCTCCTGGACGCCAGGTTGCATAAAAGGTTCCACAAGGCGTTTGCATCAAATTTGGACTGTTGAGACTACAAACTTTGTTTTTATTGCCATAAAACTGCTCCCAAGTACCCCACCCAGCAAGGGAGTCATATATAGTCATATTCAATAAATTAGAATATTATTGAATGGCATTATCTGGTGGAGAAATTCTATAAAAAATTAACATTTAATTTGAGTGTACTGATTCATTAGGGTAAAATAAAATTTTATGAATTGTATATTTTCTAACAAAATTATTGGTTGTAGAATTACTTTGCACAATCCAGTTTTATCAATCCGATTTCAGAGGGTTGAAGTGTACATGGATACATTTTTCTTTCTATCAGTTCTCTCAATTATAGCCAGGGTCTTGGAATACTGTATGCTTTGGTATGGATCTAGTAGCAGGTAAAAACAGGAGCACTTCTACCAATACTATCATTATTTAAGTTTTAAATATCATTAAACCTCTTTCCTTCCTCCTTCCCTGTACCTAAAAGTGAGCTTGACATGATTTTTTCTTTACATCTGCCTGTTGTTAAACCCATTGATGTCAGAAAGCTTAGTTGAATCTGTTCACTTTAGCTTGAGGCATACAGTTCAAGTGAAGGTTTCAGTAGTGTTTAGCAAATACTACAACTGTATTATTGTTTCCTGACCCAAAAGGATCAACATACATGTAAATGACTTCAATTACATGTTCTCTTCTCATCTTGAACAGCATGGAAGAGAAAAGACCCATATCATATTTCAACTCCTTGGAAACCCGTGACAAAGTAATTTGACTTAATATATTGATTAACCCAGCCTAGAAGCTAAGCGCACATAATATAGCATCATTGTTTGTGTTTTATAGAGTAGGATCTGGTGACCATAACTCTTTGACTCATTCAAATGAGCACAGGTCACTCAGATGGGGGTTGTCTTGTCAAACTAATTGCAGGTTTGTTGTCAGTCAGTTTATGCTCTGACGATGATAAAGAGGACGGTGAAAACGGAAACCTGAAATTAAAAGATTCAAAACAAAAACGGTGACTAAAACTTTTTGGAGGACTTTCAATCAACTGAAAAAGCCTGTTAATGCTCTGTGCTCACATGACAGTAAAATGAACCTCTGTTTTGACAGTATTCAGCTCTGTCACATCTCTTCTTACACAATAATATTACATCTTATGATATAGAAAAAATGCAAAGTATTTGAAAAAAAAAATACACAAATAGTTGCATTTTTCAAATCAATAGAATACCTAGGAGTAAAAAATGAGAATCGAAAGTTGTGTTTGACAACTGAAGTCTTAAATTTGACTAAGATTTACGTTCAGTGGGAGCTACTTTGCCACCTGGGAGCAACAGAGGTAGGAGAAGTTCTTAATAATTATCCACCACATTTATAAAAAACATTCCAACAATATACATCTATAGTCCAAAGATATACAGACACTGGTCTTTTGCAGAACAAAAGTGCATAGCAGTATGAATACCAAAGCCCTTTTTTTTTAAATCTCAATGTTTACTGAATTGATTTACTCTCAAAGACAATATTTTTCTGGTGTGATTTGTGACTTTGTCGTTTCCCAGGATTTAGTGTATTTGCTTCTGAAAAAGAATGCAATTAGTCAGGTCAACCTCACCTGATGTAAGGTGATCAATGCTTGCATTGATCACCTTCACCCAAGAGCAAACTTCTTTTTAAAAGATAACAAAAGAATGTCAAACAATGTCTAACCAGGTAGGTGAAACTATCCACCTAATATTTTATGTAATCATGATAATTTATCATTATATGCAATATAATGATAATAACCTTTGGGAAATTCAGAAATCTAAATGTGTACAGAATCCCACAACAGATCTCATCCCTCTGTCTCAGGTGAACAATAGGCACGACACCCCCTGCTGCTTTGCCAGGTGACCTCATCAGAGCATCACCAATCAGACCCCACTCATGCAAACAAAGGTCAGCCAAGTGAAAATGCCAGTGCCGGTTCTCACAGTAACCCCGATAATATCTCCGACCCCCTTTGCCCCACACTCATTGACGTGGAGCAGCCACACAGATAGAGTTGCAAATGGGCACTTTTATGAGTCAAAGCAGGGGCGGGTGGAACACTGGACATCCCCCCTGCGAATGCCTTGTTCTCCCATTAATTGATCGCTACTTGATCTTGGATAGTGATTCAGGGGTACTCTCTAGGGCAGGCAACAAGTTTCTGTGATATGTGTGGGAACTGTGCGGAAACCGCTAAGGTGCACCTGTTAAATGGCCATTTTGCCCTATTCCCTCAGCACCCTGGCTATTGTTGGGGATTTATATTCAGTTTCTTTCTCAGGTGGCCACACAGTAGAGGACTACTGAAGTGGTCAGCTCGCTATCAAGAAAAAAAGAGTCCTCAAAACACACAACTTTTAACGAGTGACATTGGATAAAACTGGAATATGTGAAGTCCCTGAAGGATCTATGTATTCGGATTTTATGGCAAACATTACGGATGACATTTCTATTTAAAATTATAGGAAGCAAAACCATCATCGGAATGAATGGTATATTCTTTGTGGGCTGTTAACAGCATATATAGTTTTTTTGTTGTTTTTTTTTTAGAGTGAAATATTGATTCAATGTTCAACTTCAAGAAGTTTTAAAAACCATAATTGTGTGAACAAGTTGTAGTTTACAGGTTAAAAAGTAAAGACAGACATATACAATATTTTTACATGAAATTTGGAAAATACTTGGGTTGGTGACAATCTCCAGTGGTCATTTGACTAAAGTGGGATACACAGGTTGCCATACAGGACAATCAACCATGCTCTCTCACATAATCAGACCCCACTAGGGTGTGAGAGGTGCCAATTAACAGTCATGTTTTAGACTGTGGGAGGAAACTGTAGCACATGGAGAGAATCCATGCCTACATGGGGAAAACATACAACTCTTTGCATAGAAAAAAATAAATAAATAAAAAGGTCAAGATTTGAATCCAGGACCTTCTTGCTCAGAGGCAATAGAGGTTTTCAAACATAGCCCATCCATTTTCAATAGACCTGAGTTCGTATAACTCTTACAGGTAGCTCAGTCTTTATCTTGATAGTATCAAAACCAGAGGAGGTGCAGCTTTCTTGGCAAGCACCCTATCAGAGAGTTTCAAATCCAAACTGGATTTGAAAATCCCTGATATAGATTAGCTGAGTTTCTATGTATAATTTTTAACTCTTCATTCAACTCAAACATGCACATGCATTTTCTTTGGAGAAAACCTTGGAAGTCTTAAATGAAACTTCTGCCTCCTCACTTATCCCTCAAAAAGTACACAGTTATCACAAAAAAAAGTCAGTGACATTCCTGTTGATGAGAAGAATCTAATCAACAGTGTATAATTAAGAAATGCAAAAAAGCTATAAACCACTTACTTTTTTGAAGAACGTATGGAGATCACAAGCTAACAATTAACTTTAATGACTGCCTGACGTCCTGTGGCCTGCTGTATGACCCATGACCCTTGTTTTAATGAGGACTCTAATAGGGGACATTACTCTGTCAGTGTGGCGTCTTGTGGAGGAGGATAGAAAGATAGATGAAAGGTATTCACTGAAGTGAGGACCGCAGGTGGGCTCTTGTCAGGTGACATAGTAAACCAGGTGCAGTAGGGATGAGTGCCTGTTAAAATCAAATGCAGCTTTACGTGTTTTCATACTTCATCTGGTGAAGTTTTAAAATATTTGCTAACAAATCTGATTTTTTTCTTCACATAAAAATATCCTTCTTTTTTCCAGTTCCTTGAAAATTATTTCTGAATTAAATAAGTCACGTTTTTTTGTTTCTCTCTCTGTTATCCCTCACAAGCATGTCATCACTGTGTTAAATGAGTGTGTTTCTGTCTTTCTATTGTAGCCTGGCTATTGCCTTTCTGTGCCATTCTGCTAAAAATAAAATTCCTGCTGTCAGCAGAGTGTGGGCTTTCTTGAGTTGGATTGTCTCTGGTAAATTTTTCACCAAGTCAATCAGACAACAGAAGGAGAAACTGTGAACAATGATATCAATTTTCTGCACTGTTATAGTCTGCCTGTACTTTTATCAATGGCACCAAAAAGAGTCAACAAAGCCATTCAGTCTGTGTTGGCCACCTCAAAATATTGAATCAACATTAACATGAGCCTCATTTGGATTGGCATTCCTTGCTTTGCTGTGGAATTTGGTTATTTACAGCACATGCAACTTAAGCGTCTCAACATCAGATTGATGCATTACATACATCACAGGTAAACATTAGCAACTGGGTAAAACTCAAAAACTTCAGCATGGTCCATGCCTCCAGCAAGCAATTGTTTCTCAACAGCCAAGAGCCCAGAGCCTCTGTGAACAAAACAAATATCGTAGGACAAATTGCTGTTTTTTGTTGTTGTTTTTTTTTCACCAGACAAACACAGCTGCAGTTATCTTCAGAAAGAAGGGAGCATGAAAAGGGAAGGGAGCAGAGCATTGCAAGGTGGATGGCTTGAAAGAGAGGAATAAAGTCAACTTTCTGGCCATCTGGCTAATACTTTTGCATTAAGTGGGGAGCAATGAAAGGCTAAGGAGTAGTGATGCTTCACTTCATGCCACATGATGCTTAGCAACAATAAAGTGACTTAACTGGGCCCACTGGGCCCAAAACCATCTTCCTCAAGGTAATGAATGCCTTCTAAACCATTTTATATTGTTTTGATCAAATTAAATGTACCATTATTGCAACTAAGATCAGAACTGAATTCTGTCCCTCAGATTTATTGCATAATATATTTTGTTATTATGTTATACAATAATGTTACAATAATCTATGTGTTTTATATTTGTAATATTTTTCATCCTTGGTGTAGGTACACCACTGACTGAACTTTGAGTCCTGAGAAGATGTGATGAGTTCAAGAGTCACAGGCCATACTGGAAACCCTAGTTCATCAGAGAAGCTTTACCTGACCAACACAGATCCAGTACTGATCACTGTGTTTGGACAGCAGCTGCAACAAATTATTGTATTGCATTAGGAGGTGACATTAAATTGTCTGATACTGAGTAAATTTATATATTCTCACAAGCTCAAAAGTAGCATTAAATTGTTATTTTTCACATCTCAGAGCAGGCACTACTTTTCAATAACTTTATTGAAAAGTATCAGCAGGTTACAATTTATAATGAAAAGTCTCGATACTAAAAGATGATCATCTCGTGAAAGAGATTTGTTTTCTGTTGTCAGACAGAACCAGTTGTCTGAAAACAACTGACTATTTCTGAAAAGAGAGGTTAACAGAACATGTTGGACCAAATGTAAGGTTTTTCAACACCTTTTCACTATCTGTGGTCTAAAAAGTAGAAATAAATTATTGTGGTGGCTCTAGAACCTCCCCTCTTTTCTGCTTCAGCAGTATTAAAAGTCATAACAGTTTCTTTTTCAAATTTCCATTGTCCCACTGAGCCAGATTATGCTCAAAGATTCTTCTTGCAAAAGAAGAGTTCTATTTTTCACTCAGAATGAGAGATTGCTGCAGTCAATGCCTCAATGGGCTGGGTTTCCTAAATTACGAAATGTTTTACTGACTAAAATAATAAAATGACCCAGATTCATTTCTGTCTGTAGGCTTGAAGTGAAATATATATATTTTTGTGTACAAATTTGCTGACTGAATTTTTTTCACGTTACTGCTTGATTATAATGTAGATTATAACACTTCTAAATTACTCATCTTGATAAAAAAAAATGTTTATATATTTGCCAGAATTTCTTTCCACCAGCAGCACTAACTTATGTAGTTGTATTTACCAAAACTGATCAGTCACAAACAGTTTCACCTCTAATCCTATAGTATATTCATTTCTCTAGATTGCTACAATTTGCAATCTAGAGTGCAAGTTATTCCAAGATTGATGAGAAAGTAACCTCTTCCCCACTCAGTGTAAGTTGATCTTTAGATAGTCACTCGAAGAAAAGTAGGAACTGGAGAGGGGAATCATAAGATCTGGAATAAGATTCAAATGACCAAGGGGACACATCCCTGCACTGAGCACTCTAAAATTAAGGACAAAACAATGTGACAGGCAATGATTGATCAGTCTGGATTGTTTTGTCAAAATTCAGCCGTCTTCACAGCCCCACCCCCAGGCACTTCCTATAATCAAAGGCCATGCCCACCCATGGCTAATTAGACATTAAGCAAATGTCAAGGCGCCTGATTTAAAGCAGGCATCCAGGACCTGAGCAAAACAAAGGCAGTTGGAGAGGGGAAACGGAAAAGATCCAGATCAATACCAAGCAGTACTTTTGTTTGCTAAAATGCCACAGAGACTGAAATAAATCAGATAGACGAGGAAGAGAGCAACCAGCCATTGCGTTCTCACGGCTCCCTGGGCACGGCACTAAGAGCGAGCACACCTGGCCTAACAAAGCCTGAAGAGGAGGGGAGGGATGAGCAAGCAGACATGCTCTCTCACAGCCACAGACATGTACACAAACTATCTGACATCAATTAGATAATTTAAACTGGTGAAAATTAGAAAATAGGTGATTTTTTTCTCAAACTTTAAGTAGATGGAAATATTAGCAACAGTACATTCAATTTACCCTTCCTTTAAAACTGTCAACTCATGATTTATTTAGGGATACCAGTTTTATTATACGTCTCTTTATGAAAATCATCATAATCTGAGGTAGGTTGGTAGCCCTCTGATTGTCCCCAGCATGTTAGCGTTTTTAAAATTTTCAGTTGTGTGAGAACACATACATGTCATGACGAATCTTCTACAGTCAGTTCCAAATGTGGAAGTTAACTAACTATATAAAATTCAGTCATTATAGTTTTGGTATAGTTTGCATCTCATCAGCTAAAACAACTAATGTGGGAAGGAGAAGCGGAGGAGGGTGTAAGAACAACATTTAAAAAAATAAAATGAAACCATGAAACATATGGGTTCTCTTCGACTCATGAATTAGGATTAATTTTGTCAAATAAGGTGATCATAAATAATAATAATAATAATAATAATAATAATAAACATTTTTGTGAAACTGTTATAAAAATATTAAATTCTATTAAACCTATTAGAAAAAAACACTGAAACCATAGAAGGAAAAGCAGAAGCACACTTTACCCATCTTAACACATAAACGAATACTTATCAGATCGAATATATTTGTCATTTTATTGTAAAACTAACAGTGTATACAATAAAAGAAAAGCATTTCCATTGGATTCCTAAAGGGGGTTTAAATTCCTCCTTTTCTGCTCTCCTTGTCCTTAAATCACTGATGATAATAATGCAGTATCAACAGAATTGGCTTCTGTGTCTTTAAGAAGCTCCTGCTCTTTCTGACACTCCGCCTTCAGTACATCATCAAAGCAATGCTTCTTGTTATACCCTTTACAACCTATCTGCTCAAGAGCATTGGACTGAGAAGTAGTTTTCATGATAAGCTCAGCAGATGTGTAGTTTCATCAGGTGGTTGCTAATTGCTGCTGTCATCACAAAGCCGTGAAGGCTTTGTGTTGCAGAAGCTCAGCTGGAGACAGCAGCTCCAACGAGGAATTTTGTGTAAATAGACGGGACTTTATGAGAGCAAGCATTTAGGCACCACTGAATGACTGATTCAAGGATTCCTTTAACGTGGATGAAAGAATCAAGTCAACACTCCAGGTATGTTTTTGAATAACATTGTAGCATTCAAAAAAGTTTATTCATATAAGCCCATTAACAGATTACTGAGGAAAAGCAGTTTAAAAAGTTCAAAAATTCAATAGATTATAGATGATCAGAACAAGAGTATTTCAGTAATACGAGTAATCTTTGTATTATTATTATGAAAAGCTTCTTCTGAACACAAATTATTTGTATAGCTATACAAAGTTGCCTCATTTAACTTATGCTTGCCAGGGTAAATTATCTATCAGTCTCCTTGACTGCAGTTTGCCTCCTCCCCTAAATTCACCCAAATTTCCAAAGTGACAGGACTTTCTTTTAAATGAAAAAAGCTTTGCTTCACCCCTTCCACCCTCATTTTCTTCTCCATACTGAGTTGCCATGTTGGAGCATCTGCGGGGCATAGTCCCCCCTATTAAATCACACCCTGTCACTTCTCACACTCAGCACCTATGGAGCACCTATGGAGCGCAATCGGCTGAGCTGGTTTCAATTTATGCCTGGAGCAAAGTTAATAAGTTTGAGATAAATTCAGCTGGCCTGGCTGGAGCTGATTTGGAGTGGTATACGCTTTCACCCAACTGATTATCCCGGGTCCAAAACGTCGCTGGTAAAGCACAAAGAGAGAGTCTGTTTTACACTAATGCAGTGTGACCCCATGCAGAGGAGCCTGTTATCATTGCTATTTAGTGAGTTCAGGTTACAGGTGAGTTGGTACCAAACAGATAATACTGGCATTACATTGGCTGATTGCTTACCCTGTGGAAAAGAAATAATTTCAGCCTAATATATATACTTAAGCTGTGATACTGACCTATAGACAATTTTGTTTTCATCGAGAATATTTTGTCTTTCTAATTTTCGAGAATAAAGTTTATGTGTTTATTTAACTGTCCTTCTTTGATCACATGTTTGACCATCATTACACTGATCTAAAAAGCACTCGCCACATTGTGTCATTATATTTGTAAAATGGCATCCTTAAGGTAAACTTTAAAAGACAAACGCAATTAGAGTAAAAAGCAGAACAGATTCTCCATTTATGTAGAAAAAACTGTTGCTCCAGAAAAGCTTGCTGGTAAAACAAGTCCATTTTATACCTTCAGTGCAATTATTCTATGTTATTGAAGGCGGTTTACCACACAAGTGCCAGTGTCATTTACAAAAATTAACCTTACATGGAGTTGATACTCATCCGTGGTAACCTCTGGCAAACAGGCATAGTGCTGGTAAGCACCCGTTTGGGTATCATTAACAAGCTAGAAGTGACTGCAGCCCTTTTTACTTCCATTCTCATGATTAGGGAGGCTATCCCCACCCCCCAGTAACCCAACGCAGGGACCAATTATGCATAATTTAAGACTTAAGCAATTTTGACAGATTTCTGGAAATTACTGTAGAGGTTTTGTTGCTGTTACAGAGGATAAATGAGAGTGGGATATTTTGACAGGTTTCTGCCACAAAGCAGTCCTCAGATACACAAAGGTAAAGGTTACATGGTGCCTAATATCCATGTGTTGATTGGGGCTAAAGTCAGGGGGTTAAGTAAGGTCTAGTTAGCCGGGCTCTGAATTACGACAGAAAGGGTTAAGGAAAACACAAGGCCTCCATCCCACCTGTCCACAAATTACTGCTACATAAACATGAAGGCTGAATGTCTGCATGCACACGCATAAGGTAGATTTACGTAGGTGGTCAAACTTCCTCAATTAATAAACCTGAAGCAGTCAGAAGAATTGTGAGTGTAAGCCAAAATTATCTGACAGCAATGATCATTCTATTCAAACAAATTCGCTGGATTATTTCTTTAAGGCAAATCCTGAGTTTATGCTGTTGGGATAGAAACTGTGACAGAGTTTAGTGATTTTGTTAAGAAAGAGCCTCATCATGATTCAAAGACCACCTTCTTGAACTATAACAGTGACTTTGTCAGACTTGAAAAATTTTCTTCCACAGGATGAAATGAAAAGTGTTAATATTGTTTTTAAAAAAAATATTTTTAATGATACAGTCAGCGGGTTATTTTAATGGATTTAGATAATGCAGCAACAGGAATTTACTGTAGTTAATATAGGAATTTTACCTCATAGGGCTAAGATGAACTCATATTTATCTGTTATCCAATGATAATCATAACATGACTGCACACAAGCAATATTTTGGTGTTAAATTGTTTACATTTACTATCCAAATTTAATACAAAAATAAACATTCAAAACCAGACATTGATAAACACTGTTGTCTCACAAAAAAACGTCCTTGTTTCAAGGCCTACCTCTTCTGATTTAGCATCTCAATACCTGTAAAATATTGGATTACATTTTTTTTTCTACCAACGCAGATTATAGATTCATCTTT